GTCGATAGGATAAGATACCTAATTAGCAGGGGATCCAGGTTCGATTCCTGAGGTGATGATGTTTTTCGCAAAGATAACAATTATTTTCACGACTGGCTCGTGGTCGTGACACACACCTTCCCTTCTTATTTGGGAAGAACCCTGTTGCTCTTGCGTCGTGAATATTGTGATTTGTACAATATCTTTTCTGTGGTGGTTTTTGTCCTATACAAAGGTCCTTCGATCTGTCGTCGACTCACATTAGAGTTTGGTTGACAGACAATATCTAAGTAACAATTTGACTCTATCTGACGTCAATCGAGACAAAGAGATAAGAAGATAAATCTTATTTTTAATTGGCCAAAAAAAGATAAATTATTATTATTAGTTGAGTCTCATACGAACTATCTAATCTTTTACAGGACGTAAGACCGCATATTGAGCGTTTCTAACATCAGGCAAGTCTTGCTGCTCTATTTTGTAAAAAGCATATATTCCTTTTTTTGTCGGCATCTCTGTTAATCGATGTCACGATGTTACAAGTCACGATATTATCAGTGATTAAAAATCCAACTTCCAATACCAATAATAGAGAATAGCGAAGACTTTACCATGCGAAGAAAAGTCGACTTAGAATGAACGTGCGTTCCCGAGCGATATTGCGTGGTTTTAGTGTCTGAATCTTTAAGCAAGTGTTACCATCATATGCGGACAACACCTGTGACCTCGCAATATTAATATAATGCACGTGCATTATCTTTAGCGGCTTTCTTATATACGCTTTCGCGGTTGAATATTTTGAATGACTTGATAATTGTCATGCACGAACTTTTCCATGGACACGAGAATAGTTTGTAATCGTTGTTGATTGTTATTGATCGTTTCGATTAAAAGCAAAAATATTCTTGTGAAATTTGTTGTGTCTCTTTTGAATATTTATTTATTAATATAGCATCGGATATTTTTTTGAATTTTTGCAGACTCCTCGTATCTAAAACATTTTTGGAAGCTTTCATATAATATCCTTAAGGCCGATAAAATGTATTTCTCAGTCTCGAATATCTGTTTATCGGATATCTCTTTTCAAGAAGACTTTGTCTTCAGTGTAATGACGCTCCATCAGCCAGTCAGTAATTGAAAAATCGTAAACACTGTCGGTAATGGATCATTGAGTTTATGCAACCGTGTCGACACTGTCTGCGGTTGTCCGTCGAGGAACGTCAGATCCCGCCTTCATCATCTTTAAACCACCGTGACATATCCCTGCGGTTTGCTCCCCCGATTTGATGTTTTCTCTTTACTCTATCGACGCTATGGATCTTGAAGTGGTGTATCGTCTCTGTGACATCTTATTTTACATACGAGAAAAGTGACGCAATGCGAAAATGTGATGCAAAAATTTAACGTTAAAAGGAAGCGAAAGAATATGTGAAAAATTCATTGACGTAAGTTAATGATTTGTTTTTTGAACTTTTGAATTCTTCATCTCTTCGCATTTTTTGATAAAATTATTTTATTGACTCATCTTTTGTTAAACTGTGTGATAATCTCGAGCTAAATAAATATGATCGACGCGTTAGACATCGGTCGATCATATCAAAAGTGGAGGAAGTAAATGATTTGATCTCGAATTGACTATTTCGCAACGAGGAGATTGCTCCATCGAAAGGGGTAAACGACCTTCTTTGATATATCCGCAGATATATGCCTCCCTATCGAAGTAGGATCCAATTACCAATCAGGCGCAGGATCTAAGAAACCATCCTCGCAGGTGGATTATAGGATAGTCACTCCTGTAATCGTCGCCTTCGACGTTTCATTCGTCTTTCGATTGCGGTTTGCACTCGCCCTCTATACCCACCTCACCTTGTCGACGATTTACCCTCTCGCACGAACACGTTCCCCTGACTGATGTAATTGATGCGCACTTTCTTTCGCGTTTATGTTACGTATATTAAGGTAGCATTGGTAAAAATCTTTGGATTTCCTGGTAGCGCGTTTCGAATTTTTTAAATGATACCACAAATGTTATTTAGCTCTTAGAATATGTATCGGGGAAACACCGCTAGATCATTTCACGCGGGCAGATCGGTGCACGCGCGTGTGCGAGGAACGAATGCAGAGCCAAGGACCCCGGGGCCACCGAAGAATCGCATAACGCCAAGGCTAATGTCTCTAATGTCTATAATCTTGGATCATCTGCATCCGAGCTGCAATCTGGCTTGGTCTCGCGCGTACCTTAAATCCTTCTACGTACTACTATACTGCCCTACCGGAGTACCTACTATAAATACGGGTACGCGCTCTCCTTTCCGCCCATCGTGTATCAGTATTATTAAATTGTTTTATTGCTTCATTCCTTTTTCTTCTCTTCACGTTTGATCACACTTCCGTTTGTCGTTATAAATTCTCTGTGTCGATGTAATTGAAATTTTTGGTTTGAATATTTATACAAGACATATTTTGTCTCGACGATTCTTTTTGAGGAACTAAATATACATCTTTTAATGTGATGAAGGGTCCGAAACAAAACCTTTAATATTAGCAAATTGTTTGGATGAAACCTTATCTCAAAAAGAATCCTCGAAGTTTAAATGATTGTTCAGTGTGCGTCCCAATGCTAAGGGCGAATCTCGTTTGGCGATTGTAAATATGTCGAACGAGAGCAGATTATCACCAAGTTTTAGATATTGCCGCACAATTCGATAAGGGAAATGTCACGATATGTGCCTCGCGCGCGTACCCGAATCCGCAGATATTTTGCCGATCGGAATTCCGCGGATGGGCAACCGTGGGCACGGCGAATGGAATCGCTTCTCGGAAAGTCGAGCCGAGCTGAGCCGAGCAAGCAAGGCTCGTTGGCATAAATTATCGAAAAGTACAGCCCTCGAAAATCCAGCTCTTCCCTCGTGTATGCGCACTCGCCTTCGAAATTGCCTCCCTAAAATATGAGAATTATTGCCCGTGGCTTCGTTCTGTCTCGCTCGCGACTCGTGTTACTTTTGCATTTCTTATTTTAGAAGCATCCATCCTTTTCTACGGCGGGATCCAAACGGGATCCAGCCATC